GATCAATTTTTTATTATTTTCTTTATGTTTTTTCAGGCGATTTGGGTAGGAATGGGTCAATTTTATCATTTTTTATATTATTTTTTTGGGTGATTTAGAGTGAGAACAAGTCTATTTTAATAACTATCTTTACATTTTTTTTGGATGTTTTGGGTGGGAACAGGTCAATTTTAATAATTATTTTTATGTATTTTTTGGGCGATTTGGGTGGAAATAGATCAATTTTATTATTTTTTATGTTTTTTTTCAGGTGATTTGGGATGGAAATGGGTTAATTTTATTATGTTTTACATTTTCAGATGATTTTAGATTGATTTTTCTATATTTATATTTTATATTTATTATTTATATTTTTTAGATGATTTCAAAAGGAATGGATCATATTTTATCATATATTATTTATTTATCTATTTAGGATGATTTAAAGAAATTTTGGGAGGAAATGGATCATATTTTATTATTTTATTATTTTATTTTTAATAGGAAATTAATCAGTAAGTTTTAGTGATATTTTTTTTTTTGTTATATTTTTATATTTTTTACAAATTTATTTTAGGTTTTTATTATTAATAAAATTTTAATATTTAATAAATTTAATAAATAAAATATACTGATTATTGATGTTGAATTGCTTGTCTAATTGGAGTCAATTGGCATTGATTAATGTCTGAATTGATGCTGAATGTTTATATCTGATTGGAATCGATTGGCATCTATTGATGTCTGAATTATTGCCGAATTGAGACCAGTTTTAGGCTGATTTATGGTTAAATTTAAATTCTGAATGGTCATGTCCAATTGGGATTGATCAGTGTTTATCAGCACCTGTTTGTGCTGATCAGAAAACATGGCAAATCAGTCGTAAATAGTATCAAAATCAGCCTAAAATCAGCCATCTGATTTTTAGCCGATTTGAACAATTTTGACTAGTGTAATGCATCAATGAAGAAAAGAAAGTCTACGCCATTAAATATTTACAAGCACGATTGATTTTTTTCTTATTTGATTTACCAGGAAGGAAAGTCTCAGCAGCGTAGCAAATATAAAATGAAGAAGCATCGCGAATGCATTCAAAGGAAAGAACGTTGAGGGAGGAACCATTTTTTCTGAGTAAATTTTCTGAGGTTGTATGCTTAGTTTTTTTTATAACATTTGTATCTTTAGGGATGACAGTTTCTGCAGTATTTTCAGTTGAAGTTTCAAGTGGTGAGTCAACTTTCATTTTTCTTTGAGAGCCAGAAGCGATGTTTGAGTTATCAATATTTTCAGTTTCAGTTAAACCAGGATGGTTAAGAATAGTAACAGTTTTCTTTTGGGGGGTTCTAAAGACTTATCATCAACAGGCAAGTCAGGACGACTATGAGTATTGCAAAGGTTTTTTGGATTATTGTTGAAATTTTTTTTTGTCTTTTCCCATAATGTTTTTGAGGGGAGTGGGAAAGAGTTTTTTTTCAGATTTTTCATATACTCAATTATATCCACTAAAATATATCCACTTTCGTAAAACTTTACTTTACGGATTCTTCTATATGACCTCTAAATGAAACGTGTTACAAATATAAAGCATTTAACATTTTTGCATAACTTCTGAAGTTGAAAATTTAGCAATTTTGTTAGTACCTAAAATTAAGCATCTCTATAGCAAAAAAGGTGCTTAATTTCAGAGGCATAGTTTTTAAATCTAAGGTAAATTATTATTATATTATGTTTTAATATATATCTTCAGCTGAAGAATTAAAAAACCAACTGTTGCAGCTTGGAAAACTTATTCGAAATATTTTAAAAGTGGAATTTCAGAAGACCATTACATATTTGAAGTCCGGTTAGATAATAATATGAAAAAATTATTGAAATAACAGATGATAATGGAAAGTATGTTGAAGAAAGTGATTATAAAAATAAATGAAATAATAATAATGAAAGGGATGAAGAAAATCAAGAAACATCTAATACGGATGATGGTTATTTAGTGTAACTAAATAATTTGTATTGAAAATAAGAATTACATTCGAATATTATATTTTCAATGGCCATAAGGATTAAACTTAATGAACGATTATTGATTAATCGAATACTAAAAACAAAGGCGCGGCGACCCGATTTTTTTTTTTTTTTTTTGATAATATCTAGTATTAAGATTGTGGGAAATAATGCTAAAAAATGATCGGGGAAAAAATGCGCAGTGCTGCAGTACGATATAAATGTTTTATAATTCATACAGGCAAAACATTGACGGGTTATATATTAAAGTAGATAAAGTTCAAGAATTTATTTCGCGTCGACAAATGATTAACCTAGAAAATCAAGCCTAGTATAAGTATATTAAACCTAAACCAAAATTTAAAATACGCATATATATAAAATCAGAATATCTTTTGTCTTCAAGATCAAAAGGTGATTATCAGAAGTCTAACATAAATAAAAATAACATCATTGGAATGGATATATTGAAAAAAGTTAAAAGTAGCACTACACCTACATGTAACTACGTTAGATATGATACAAGGAAAGAGAATCAAAACTCATAAAGCTTCTTTTATCCACTTTCCTAAATCATTTATCATACGTTGCACTTCGCTAATTGGAATTAAAGATCCACTACCAACGTCGTGAATCCGTGCATTATTCAAGGCATTACTTATTTCCTCTTCATCATATCTACGACCTATTTTATATCAGAAGATCGAAAATTAAAAGCACGTAAAAAAATGTCTAACAATAAACTCTTCAAATTTTTAAATAAAAAGCAAGGAAAAGCGTAAATACCTTCCAACGCATCTTCTAAAGCATTAAAGAGATTACTATATTCTAAATGTAAAGGCGTCAAAGTTACTGCAGTAATGAAACCATTTTTCGACTTGAATAACGCTTTCTAAATATAACAGATGAAGTATTTTTAAAAAAATTCGTTGGAACTAACATGCATCAATTCATCGCATTTACCACATAACCCCAATCAAATTCTTTTTCAAGTTGGAGAGTAAATTCTGGAGTTTGACCGTAAATCCATTCCCAAGTCTGTTAATCAAATTAAACAAATTAGAAATTAAAAAACAATATATTGAAATCAAATTGTAATAATAAATGGTGACCTTGATCTCCTTACAATACTCGATAACTTTTGGAATTTTAGATATGAATTCAACATCAACGATTGTTGTCTTTAAATAAAATAAAAAATCAGTCAATATAATAAAAATTCTTAACCCTGCATTATTTTAATTACTTACGTTAACTCTTTCGCTAATATTGGTAAATTGATTACAATAATAATTTGTGAATACGTCTTTAACGGCCTCACAGAATGATTCGTGACTCACAGTTGAAGAATAAGCACGAAGATTTGTGACGGGTGATGGTACAGATTCCACACCTTTCGTGATAAGATTTTGCTAAGGGTACAAAATAATTTTTTTTTACAAAATTGAAATGAACATTTTAATAGTGTATATATATTACCTTATCAACTTTAAGATATTTCTTAATCCTATCTAAATCCGTATCAATAAGCATAGTACCATGATGATATGCTCTTCCCGTTATTAATTTAAATGCAGATCCAGAGACGTATCAAATAAAGAAGAAAAGAGGTTCATTAAAGAAATATCTATCAAAAAATTATTTAAATTATTCGTACAATAATTAAGGATATTTTAAGTCCTTGAATCGCTATATCATGCCTTTCTGTTACGTAGGCCGATATACCAAGCTTTGTCGTAAGAGCTCTTACGACCAATTCGGCTGAATGTTTACGTGTAAAATTACTTCTAGGCATTATTAACGTATAATTTGTATTGCCGATGTCCTTTAATACCATATAAATGAGAGATAATAGAAAGTTATTCCTGATCACGATTAAATATATAAATAAACTTGTATCCAAGTTGGTTAAAATAGGAATTTACATGGAATACCGTGCCACCTCCGCTTTTTCTTCTGATGAGCGGAATATTATGATCTTGAAGTAATCGTACATTACATTCCTTCCAAGGATTCTAACGTA